TTAGGGTTTAGGGCTTAGTCTAGGACATTCTCAGGTGGGTAGATACCGTTATACAGTATAAGCCCTATAGACCCTAAACTTCCTACCTGTAGTTCCCTAACTCTATAGCGAAATTATTGCGTTATATAGGGTGTAGGGTTTAGGGTTTATATAACTTATAACCTAAACCCTAAACCCTATTTAGGGTTTAGGCTTTAGGGTTTAGGTTATAAGTTATAAGGGGCTTATAGAGTTAGGGGTTTATGAGGCTTTAGGGATTCTTTTCTGAAGCTCGCATTCGGGCTTCCAGGCTTCAGTTGAAGCTGCTCAGAGTGTTTGGATCACCCGCTTGAAGGTTCCAAACCCAACCTCCGCAAACCCTAAGCCTTAAGGGTTTAGGGTTTAGGGTTTAGCCTATTCCTTAAAGGTGTAGGGTTTAGGGTTTAGGGTTAATCCTTTGAGCAAAGCAACCAAGTTGAACCCCAAATCCCACCAAACCCGAACAAGTCCCATCACACTTAGACGCCCGACCCCAGGTAAAGCCGAAGTTCGAGCCACGGTTTAGGGTTTAGGGAGATCCTGAAACCCGAGACCGAGCTAGGAACTACATTGCACCCCTAAGGCCGAATAGACCCTAAACCCTAGACCCTAGACCCTAAACCCTAAACCCTAAACCCCCCTAAACCCTAAACCCTAAACCGATTAGAGGTCTCATGGAGATTTGAGGATTGATTGAGGGTCTAGGCATATGCAGCCTGGATCTCGAACCGAACTCCCCCCCGAAACCCTAAACCCCAAACCCTAAACCCTAAACCCCAAACCCTAAACCCTAAACCCGAAACCCGAAACCCGAAACCCGATAAACCCTGAAACCCTAAACCCGAAAGCCTGAACTGTAGAGTCCCGCACCCCAGCCTGGAACCTAAGTCGCCAGGCCCAGAAATGGCTGCACAAGCGGTCCTATGGCAGGCTCGATGAGGGGTCTTGGGAGTCAGGGATCTAGGGTTTAGGGGGTTTGGAGTCTAAGGACCTAGTGTTCCGGGTTCAGGGTTTGATGTTTACCATATGGCTTTTGGATGTTAGGGTTTGTGGTTTAGAGAACTAGTGTTCGGGGCTTTGGGTTTGGGGTTTAGGGATTTAGTGTTCAGGGTTTAGGGTTTGGGCTTTAGGGGTTTAGTGTTCAGGGTTTAGGGTTTGGGGTCTAGGATATGGAGTTTGCGGTTTAGGGATCTATAGTTTTGAGAGTTGGGGCGGGCAGGTTGTTGACAGATCTAGACCCGTTTGGGGTTTAGCGGGCTTATTAGGGTCGAAGTTTCGTTTAGGGCCCAGGGGTTTAGGGTTCAGGGTTTTGGGTTTAGGGTTTAGGGTTTAGGGTTTTTTGAATGTCGGGCCTTGGGTTAGGGGTACAGGGTCGCCCCTTCATTGAGGACTTGAAGGTACAGTGCTGCATTCTAGGAGGTGGTTTTGGTGGAGAGTCTGGCGGACTTGACAGATCCTTAATCACACCAACCCGCAGGAAGCAAGCTTATACATTCTAACTGTATTAGAACGAACCCTAAACCCTAAACCCTAAACCCTAAACCCTAGAACCCTAAACCCTAAACCCTAAACCCTAAAACCTTAACCCCAAACACTACCAGGGAGCTCCTTCAGGGCTTATGGCTCTAACCGCTTCTCGAAGCCTAGATCTACGTTTTAGGAGCATAGCAGACTCAGTTCCACACTGATCATCACCGTCGTTCCGTCGGTCCAAGTGCCCGAACGTGTGGATCTCGGGACCCGGATTCAGGGTTCAGGGATATGGCGCTGGGCTTTGGGTTTAGGGTTTTCCAAGTAGCCCAAAGTAGGTACCGTTTACGGACTGTGGAGTCCAAAGTAGGTACTAGTTGTATACTTGGAGTCTTAGGGCTAACCATTGCTTGAAAAACAAAACGAGCGCCTTCTTCGTAATCCATTGTTCGCAGATTCTCCTGCATATGTTCATGAACTTCGGCCTTTATGACCTTAAACCCTATAATCCTAAACCCTGAACCCAAACATGTGGGCCAGGTGCTTGCTGGTGACCTGTGGCGACTGGGACTTACGCCAGATGATGCCGGCTCAATGCAAGCTGCATGACGAGCTTTGGGCTGCGCTTAAAAGGGAGCTTTGCTCCTCTACACCCTAAGCCCTAAACCCCTAAGCCCCTAAACCCTAAACATCCCTAAACCCTAAACCCTAAACCCTAAACCAGATACCCGATAAACCCTAAACCCTAAACCCCTACTTCCTGAACCCTAAACCCCCAAACCCTTACAGCCCAGGCTGGGTTAGGGGTTTTGGGGTTTATGAGGGGCTCCACGAGACCTGGCATGCATGCATGCTTGCTTTTGTGCATGAAGGGTATCCTGAAGCTGAGAGGGGCCTGAATTATTACCAATACTATTTTGGGGGGTTCCTTCTTACTAGTTATAGTATAATATACCCCAATACTATTTTTTGGGGGGGGTCCTTTTTATGATAAAAGTATGATATAGCCCAAAACCCTTATTCTAATTGTCAAGGTCCTTAGATTATAAAGGTCTCTCCATGTCCGCAGACGCTCCAGCATTAGACGTTTCGCATGACAAGTGCACAAGAGCCACTGGCGAGTATCCCCTTTTATAGTCCCCGTACGTTTAACTCCGTGACATACCCTAAAGCACTCTTGAAGGTCATGAGCCGCCCTAGAGTCACCAAGTTTGGTGTTTAGGGGAATGTTGATCCCAAAGCATTGGGAATGAATCCCTGAAGACCGAAAAGCCCCCACAACCAGCAGCCGTGACCCTAAACCCTAAACCCGTGAGCCTCCAGCCTGCATCCTAAACTTTACCTGGGGCCTAAAGAACCGACCGTTATATGGGTCGTGGAAATTAGATAGTCTCTGGGGGAAGAAATCGTCTTCAGTCTGCAAAACCTGGTTTTCCCAAAGACCTCTGATTTCCTGGAAGGCAATGGCTCGAAGCCCCGCCAAGGGTTGCTGTAAGGATGTAAGAGCAAAGCTTGAAAGCTGAAGGGTCATCAAATCAGACTCGAACAGAAGGCTGTCGTAGGCGCAAGATACAAATCTATCCGAAGTTCCCGCGGCATCCCTGTATGCCGTCGATCCCTGGGCTTCTTTTGGGCCGTGCACTTCTTCGTGCAACTTCCGGGCTGGATGCTCAGCCCATTGTGGAGCTGTCTACCAGGTGTGATGGGGACATATATAGGTACATATGTCAATACGGCGTATATATATACACATATATATATATATATATACATGTGTATATGTGAGCTACATATGCTGACATGCATACAAAGAGGTATGCACCTTTATATCGATGAATCTCTCTCTATATGTATATATAATATGTGCATGCATGTGCATATGTATATGCGCGGGTGTGTGTATATAAACTCTGTATATATATATATATATAACTCAGCTATATGTATATATATATATATATGCATACACATGATCGGTTATATATGTGTATATGTATGTGCATATATAGATTTACCCGAATGTCAGCACATGGGCATGCAGAGATATGTGTATATGAGCATGCATGCATGTATGCACGTCTGCATGTGTGCGTATTTCTGTATATATACTTGTTTCTTTGCTTGCGTGTATTGATGTATATCTGTACTTTGATAAATATATACTGGTGTATGTAAATAAGCATGGGTATGTCAGTATGCAGGCAAGAAGTGAGGATATGTCGGTGTCTATATAGGTATGCATGTCGTGGTGTGTGTGAAGGAATGTTCGATCTGATTGTGTGGTTGGTTGGTTGGATAATTGATTGTTGGAACCGGATTGGGTGAAGTTATGAATGAGCGTGTGAAAGTCTGTCTCGCATGTCGGAATGCATGCTTTTGGTATGTTTGTGTATGGTTGTATTCTTGTGTTTCATGTGCACACATAAATCTTCCATTGGATTTCGGTAAATATAAACATATACACGTAGGCACTTCTTCGCACATACCTGTTCATGTGCAGATAGGTAGCTATGAACAGATATAGGTGTGTATATATATATATAGGTACATATAGATATATATACATATATGAAAATGTATGTCAGTGCAGAATTTGTGTGTGTGTGTGTGCCTACCTTTCTTTTTGTATATAGGTCTGTAGACATGCACCGGTTTGATATTGGCTCTAACATATATATATATATATAACATATATATACGGACCTTGTGCACATCTATCCTGCTGCATATATATACATATATATGTATATACACACATGTCGTATCTTTGTGCTGTTACAGCTTTCTCCATGCAAGAGATGTGACGGGCTGTGACCGAACTGCTCCTTATTCTATCAAGGCATTTTATATCGATCCTTTACAGGAGTAGACCCCTCGTGTAGTGCGGGTCAGTGGCCATGACCTGCATCAGTGGGACAGCGCAGAAATGGGAGAAAATTGATGAGATCCGTGCCACCTACAGAGAGCACGGAAAGATATTTTTCTCCTTGGACCCCTCGAGCTCCGGAAGAGTTCCCAAGATCACGGTGAAGGAGGCTGCGCACGCAGCACAGGTGCTAAAGCCGCTGCTTGAGTGCATCCAGAAGGCTCCACGTGACTCGAAAGGATCTGTGAGGCTTTTCAGTGTTCCTGCTTGCGAGAAGCAGACCTTCGTCTTGATTGGAAATCCTGTGGAATCGTTTCACTATTTGGGTTGAGTTCCGAGCTTTTATTTCCAAGAGTTGGATTTTCCTTGTGTGCATTTCAGGTTGCAGAAGCTTGCTGTGCTGATCTTTGGAGCTGGCAATGTTCCTGCAAAGTTTGCTGACACACCAAAGAAAGATGCTTGGTGTTGCAAGCAGATGTGCAGCCTGGTGAAGCTGAAGATTCGGAAGCTTCGCGAGACTGGCAAAGCTCCAAAAAGCCACATTTTCCGTGATCTGATGGAGCTGATTGCGGATCCCAGAGCTACTCTCACGAGTTGTTATCAATATTTTGAATGTTGTGGGTTTGTGCTCATATACAGACCGTGTATCGGTTCCTCAAACATGATAGAGTCAGCCTGTCAGGCTGACTCGGTGGCGCTGCCGCCTTCTGATGTGTCCACGATGGTCGTGGACGTTGAGGAGGACGAGGATTGCGAGTACGACTTCCGAGGGGAGTCAAGTGAGTCTGGAGCCTCCGTAGCGGAGTCTGTCGCTGCAGATGATGATTTGGACGACATGCCGGATGCTGCTGACTCCTCTGAGGACCCGTTCGGGTTCTTTGATGCAGCAGAGGCCGAAGCGAGCTTGAAGCGAGATGAAGTGGCTACGGGAGAAGATGATGGGCACTTTGAGGTGCCACAAGAAGAGCCCAGCACCTCCTCGAGTTCGGCTGCGGTTCCCCCGGTTCCCAAGCTGGCAAAAACGAAGGAGGCGGTCTTCATCGATGTGGACGATGAGTCCGTGACCTGTGGAAATTGCGAGGTGCCCAAGGTCCTGTGCAGGTGCCTGCAGATCGATCAGCTGAAGAAGCAGCTCAATGCATTGAGAGTGCAGCGACGTGCCAGGACTGAGTGCCATGATCCAGGATTTTTCTAGGCAGCAGTCTTTTATGTATGAAGATATTATATATATATATATACAGATTTATATTTATATTTCTAAACATGTTTAGAAATGTGTTTTTATACACAACTGGATATGTATGTGTGTATATATATATATATATTTATATTATATATATATATATGTATATACAGATGTACATGTGCGGCAACATATATATATATATATATAGATATGTATCCATACACACACATATAGATACATATATGAATGCACGCACGTGCATATAATTTTCACGGTTTTGTGTACATGTACAGACCTATATATATATATGTATATATATATATATATCTATATGTGTATATTTATGCATATATAGAATCACATAGACTTCTACACATGCATATATAGGTATCCAACTACTTTTTATATATCTTAACTCATCTATCTCAGAATCTATGGATTTCGTTGCTGTGCTGCTGGTGCAGGAAGTTGGCCAAGCAGGCTCAGCTCGCCAGGCGAGCAGAGGACATCTTCAAGCGCACTTGCGGGGAGGATGACTCAGGCACAGCTTGCAGTGAACCATGCATAGGTTGTTGTTGTTGTTGCATATTTCATAATATGGGCTTAGTTTGGCCTCCTGGTTGTAGTCTTGGCTTTTGTGAGGATGCAGCGGCTCTGGCGGGGCTACAGCTGTCGTCCCTTTCCCCTTGCCAGAGGATGACACGCAGGTCATGCCAGATGCGGATTTGGATGCCATTGCAGATAAGATGAAGACGGTGAGCTTGGATTCGGATGATGAGCCAGAGCCACCAGTTGCGACCCGATTCGAAATCATACAGTGCAGTTTCTTATGTCTCGTGCCGTGTGAAGAGTGAGAGAGATACTCATAAAGTCCGATATGTAGATCGAATGATAACTAAGTAACTAAGTAGATAGATTGAAGCATATACAAGTAAATCTCTACACATATATATATATATATATATGTACAGATAATGTATGTATGTATATACATATATAGATATACACATACATCTAGTACATAGATAAGTAGATAGGTATATGTATATATATATATATGTATAGGTAGATAGATAAGTAGATATATAGATAGACAGACATATGTATATATATATATA